CTTCATTTCTTTAGTGACATGGTCCTATTGGAGGGTTGGATTTCAATGGCTGGATGTTGAACTAATGATTATTTATATATATATGTATATATATATATATACATATATAACCTTAGCTCTGTGTACTAGTTCTCAATAGTAAATATATACACACATACATTTATTCATATATACATTTATCGTGGGGCTTGAACCCAGGACCCTGTGTGTGTTAGAGAGATGTGTAAGGAAGGTGTGATAACAGCTACACCATGGAACCGTGTGTGTGTGTGTGTGTGTGTGTGTGTATGTATAACCTGTGCAACTAAAGGCATCAATGAGTTGGACTATTTGTTATCCATGGTCTCACCTCGAGCCCTAAAGCCTGTCATAAATTGTCAGTTCAACCTCAGACCAACTGCATACATTCATAGTTGTTAACTTTTAGGTGTGTTTTCGCCTGCTTTCTGCACATGTGGCCGTTATTTACTGGAAGGCCCAGCACTGTTCGCACAGCTGTAATTGGAAACTCTATTGAAGCTGTAAATACAGCGGCGTCTTTCCTGCTGTCACTTGGGAAATTTCTGCGCTTCTGCAATTGGCCTACAACACACATCCGTCAGCTGGCCTACCGTCAAGGAGAGGTTTCAGTCAGCACACGCAGGCAGAAGCTTCGGGAGAGAAAATGAGATGGCATTCAGAAAAGAGGACGTTCAGTTTCGTGTACAAGTTTCATACATGCGGCCATTCGCCGGCGTACAGCAGTCAGGGCAAGGTCGATGGAACATCAACAACTGCTGCCGAGGAACGGTCAGCAACACATCTTGTTTACGATGTCGTGAAAGTAAATGGATTTGTTTGGATCTGCACCTAATTTGAAATGCAGTAATGAAGCAGTCTGTTATGGTGCTGCTGCCAGCCCTCAAACACCGTCCAACAATGGAGACGGTTCTCACTGGGGTTCTGATTGTTTATTACACACTTCATTATTGGCACAAAATTGCATAACAATTCTAGCCCTGTTTAAGTAGGTGCAAATTGTTAAAGTATACAAACGTGACAGTTGTAAAAGGTTTGAGGTGTTTTCACAGTCGCTTTTCAGGTCACAGTGTTTTCATGATGACTTTTATTTATTTAATACTGAGATGACAGATATGTTACAGAACAGGTTTTTCTTTCCTTTTTTTTTTTTGCCAATTATGCACATTGAATCACAACATTAGCGTAGGATGATATTTTCACAGCTTGTTGGTAAATAACATGCAGTTCATCAATGTCACTCTCCCATGTTATTGTTATTAGAGGTACGGTCAGACTCAGAGAGAATCAATATGACCAGGCTGCCTATGGTTGTAAAATGAGGGTTGAGGGTTTAAAAACATCACTTTTTGTTTCTGAAATTACTTTTATATATAGATAATCATTAGTATCTAGCACAGAAAATATATTTATATAGTTAAATATATGAATTTATTAAACACAAAATTGATTTGAAAGCCTATTCATCTAAAACCAATGTGTCGCCTGGAGACAAAAAAAAACGATATTGTTTATGTGGGTAAGGAAACGATTGGTGTACATTTTAATGTTAACATTTTCAAAGATGTCATTATGAAGATATGTATTGTTCAAATGTTGTTTTATGTATTCATTACTGTATGTGATAAGAACTCATGTTCTGTCTTGTTCTGTTCTGCAGGTTAACAGGGTTCACGATCCCGCCGCCTTTTACCAGTTCTGGTTCCATATTTTCACTGAGGCTTACCAGTGACTTCGCTGTGAGTGCTCATGGATTTAAAGTAGCTTATGAAGGTAAGGGAAAAAAAGCTTTGTTTTTCTGGCTTGTCCTTCAATGTCTCCTGAAACAGTTCTTTGTATGGCATAAGGAAAACATGAGGAGTTTAGGTGAGAAAATATAATCAATGAACTCACCCATACAAATTATGTATGTCATAAAATTTGGACGTCAGTCTTCTGTAGAGATGTCCCTGTGATCAAATTTACTGCAGCTCATTTTCTGCTAGATTTTCATTGACGGGTTAACGAAACATTAGGTTTCTAAATTTGGCCGAATCAATCTCATTTTCCAAAGCGTCGTCCCTTCTCCCGCAGTCCTGAACTTTCTCTGTGGCACCAGAGGTGCATCTGAAATTGCGAGGCAGATGGTGAGGAGAATTAGTTGAACTAATGGATGAACTGAGTGATCAGTGTAGGAGCAGAGCCGGCTGCAGTGGGTTGCTATCTAAATATGAACCATCCTTCTGTGACCGACTTGCTCATCCCTGCTGCTTCTTTGTATGATTTTTTTCCCCCCGTCTCTAATTCCTTATTGTTTTCATTTAGTTTGAACAAAGGATTTCCTTCTTTGTGTTGGCTGCTCGTCTGCAACTTTTCTCCCTTCGTCTTTTTTGTCTTTTTATTTATTTTTCCATTATCTTCACCTTCACCTCCTCCAGCACTAACAAGATGAACCAATCCTCTGAGGTTACTCCTCTCCCCCTCCTCCCTGCTGACCCTTTCTATCTTCCCCGTCCCCTTCTCATCCCTTGACCTGCCCTGGTCCTGCTCCGGCCACGACCTCGTCCATCACCACACATGGGTTTGTCTCCCCCTGTTTCTCCCTGTTTCTCCTGCCTCTCATCCACTTTGGTTAAACTACATTATGCAGCCTTGTCACCATACACAGTCAAATCACTGTGCAGTCTCAATCCAGGTTGATTTTACGGTCACGGACATTTCATTACTCGTTTTATTAGTAATAACTTTATTACTGTGTTTGAGGAAGTAATATGGGCAGTGTAAACTATTTTACAACTCAGATAATGGTTGTGTTTCTGCCCTGTTAAATTATATATCTGTATATATATGTACATACTGTATATCTACATCTATTATACTGTATATTTAGTGTCTTGCCAGTTTTATTATTAGGGAGCCTGGTCCTAAAGCTGTGGCACGGTGATATTTGGAGTAGACAGTATTGTCAGTTGTTTATGGCTGTTTTTAATTTAATGATCTGAACATGGTACACAACATAAATGTTTGAACCACCAGCATCTCTTTGCTCACACCATTATGATGCAATCAATTAGGGTGAGTGTGAAGTCATTGAGTGAAAAGCATCATTGAGCCACCTATTTTGGATTTAAAAAGAGAGACACTGCAGTACCATGAAATAGGACAGAAATGTGGTGCGTGTAGTTGTTTATTCTCCCAGAAGAAATAAAGGAGCAACTTTAGCCTTTGGGATCATTGGAAAACAATTGGAAAATCCAATTGGAGAGTCCAAGAGCCTGACACACATGATTCATTAGCCAGACTAAAGCATTTCCTTTAAAGGTTTTGTTTGTATGAAATTTTGACCCCAATTATTGTCACTGTATAAAACGCCAGCCTTTATTTGTACATTAATTATGTTTGTTTATCCAATCACACCCAGGCAGGTCTTCGTTTTTGTCATTTGTGTCGTGTTGAAACCCATTTCTGCTTGATCTGATTTCTAGTCTCTCTGAAATATGAGTTGTCTCTGGTCTAACGTCTCACAAAATACAAAGATTATTGGACATTAGACATTAAAAATGGAAACAAGAAGGCGTTAATTTAGCTAAATGTAATCTTAACTCATTATTTCCTGAAGACATTGCCGGTCGGTGCTGACACTGGATTCAGAACATTCTTGTAATCATAACTCAGAGTCAAAGAGGACATTTCAATTCTTTGTCTACAGAAAACAGTGTAACCGGTTATTACAAAAATACTCAAAAGATAAAATTAGTATTTTTTCTGTCTTTTTACCAAGAACTCATTTTACATGTGGCACTTCATGCCATTTATACCCAAGCACACAGGATTTAAATAAAGATGTTCTGTAAGTGTCCAGTGTGGGCTAATGCAAGAACATATCCATCCTAGAAGACAAGTTTGAGGAGAGAATTCAAACTTACAGTATGTGACTTAAAAATAATATCTTATTATAGAGCAATGGAAACAAGAAGAATTAGGAAGGAATTAGTACAAATATATTTTTTGCAGTCTAGCAACTTTATATCCAGATACCATGCCTCAGGCATGAATTCAAAACCTTACTGTTTGGGTTTTTTGGCCTTGTTTCCTGGCAAGTTGGCTGTTAACAGTAAATCACATCTGTGCAAAGCAGTGCAGCATAAAAAAATGTGATTTCTGTTCCCCCTTAGCTAGTGTGGAGTTGAATCATTTCTTTTTAAATGTGTTCAATTTCAAGCTAAAAAAAAAAAAAAAGCGTCATTCTCTACCAAACAGGATGAAGTACATCCTCCATTCCTACTCTTTCCTTTAGTTGCCAGGTACTTGGCAAAAAATGCACACTAGACCTTGAGCGCCCCTTGTTACACTAATGTTAGACGTTTAAGTCATTCAAAGTGTTCAAAGTACGGTACTCGACTTGAGTATTCTGAACAAGATGTTTCAGTACACACACACTGCATTAAAATCCGACTGTTAAACTGGCTTACCCACCACGTTGTTAAACCCATATGCACTTGCGTTGTTTCACTCATGACTGACACACACTGGTAAACACCTTTGGTGTTCTTATCCATAATGCATTATTTGGAGAACTTTGTAACACACTTCCTCTGCTTCGTTCCGTCTCGTTATGCTGCCACCGCCAGATACATTTGACACATGAATATGTATGCGCTGCTCATTCCTATAAATGAAATGTGCCATGCTTGGAAACTCTGAGATGATTGAGTCAGGACTACAATTAAGTAGGTTTGAATCTGCATGCATATGAGGAGGACAAAATAAGGCACGGCAAAAAGGAATGTCATTTCTCTCCATGTCGCATCTGTCTTTTTTTTTTCGTGCTGGAATGAAACTTACCCTTCCCTAAGTTTGTGTGAATTTTATTGCTGATTCAGTGCCTGCTCTTCTACTCTATCACCACAGCCTCAGTGTCATCCCACGGCCTTAATCAGAGCCTGGAAGGTTTGAGCTGCATTTATTAGGAACCAGAGATATGGCAGCTTTTCTACAAGACTGCTAAACAAAAGATACTCGTGGCGAGGGATGGAGATAGGCTGCAGCTCAACCCTGCACATGTCTTAGTTCTGCTATCTCCTTGCCCTTTGCTGAAGGTTGTGTGTTTGCAACAAACACATTATTGTGCCTATCGGAGAACTGTCACTGCCATTTCAACCCCTTCTTCAGAAAAGTCTTTGAGAGACAGCTGACCTACGGGGTACAATTCCATCTTTTCTCCTCTCCTTCTCTTCTCTTCTCTCCAGTGTCTCCACGCTGCAGCCAGAGCAACCCCTACATGCAAACATGCCTCACTGCACATCTGAGTTTTGTTTACCATGTCCCTTGTCCTGTGATGCACAACATAATCTGTTTGCGTTCCTTTTCTTTTTTTTTCCTGCATGAAAATCCATCTCTGTAGATAGATATACGCCGTCAGGGTAACGGTGGCAGTCGGCACGGGCGTGTGAAGAGGAGATGCGTCTCTTCTGCTCACAAACACTGCCACTCCATCAAAACCTCCGTCTTCTTCAAAGGGCTACAGCGTCATTAGATATACAGGCAGAATAAACAGCTCATCCCGAGAGAGTTCCTGCACCAAACTCCCTCATTTACTAGTTCACATAACTTACTAGTTATCACTCTGCAGGGGAATGAAGCGAGGACGTCTCCTTCACTGTCCCGCTACAGTTTTATTTAATACATTTATGACCTAGCAGCAAGTTCTGTGTTGATGTTTTAACTTTGGAAACACGAAACAATTCTTATCTGGCGCAAACTGGATCTCACTGAGCCAAAATACTCAACAAAATCTATTACATAAAATCATATTTGACAATATGTTTTTGCATATTATAATGTGAAGCAACACATTTTTATTTATATATATACACTCATATTTCCGGATGAGAAAGGTGATCCTTCATAAAGCATAAATAGTCTCTTGTGTTTGTGCACTTTGCATCCGTTTGCTCGCCCTGAAGTGAAGTTTGTGCAGGAATTCATTAGGTTTAACTTCAACTCAATCCCCAAGGTTTTACACGCATCTGTTTTCCCAAGGTTCAGTTATAGTAACAATTTATTTGGGCTCCTCCAGACAGCAACACTTGTTAGCTCAGGGCCAACACTGTGTCTAAGACGTTTCATTTCTTCGGGGGATTCTACAAACCATCATAAAAGACTTCCTGAGTCCATGTCAAGAGCAGGCTGTTGCTAAATGTTCTCCTTTTGTTCTTTTTCACTGAGCTGCTGCGGCGGTTAATTTAGCCTAAAATTAAAGGCACATTCAACGCATCTTCATTGAATATGTGCGACCCATAAGGCTTTTATATAGTACAGATGCTTTTCCGTGGATTTATTCAGGGGCATGACTCTCTGAGACATTAGTGATGGCGTTCTATTCACCAAAGGCCAATGAGTCAGAGCTGGTGTAATTACAGATGAGCTGCATCTGTTGCATTTTAATTTCTGGCCTGTTACAAGTATTTACATTTATTGCTATAGTAATCGTTTTGTTTTGTTCTTTTGGTCACAAACAACTGCTAGAAAATGAGTGTTTATGTCAGCACGTATTTTCAGCTCACTTTAGATTCTTATAAACATTAGTAAGTACTCACTAAAATCGCCTCTCCCACGCACAATCGGTTTGTTCACAGTTGCCATATTAAGTTTAAATACAGGAAGTATTTTGTGCTTTGGTTCAAAATGTAAAAACAAACCATTTGAATTTTTATTTTTTGTATGTTATGACATGGTGTTTATTTTCATCCTTTCATCAAACCTTTGAACTAAACACGTGGTGTCTCCCTGTA